CATCTGGAGAAAGCGGCTTACGCCTGATTCCTGCTCGGTCATCTCGACTTCGCCTTGTCACCGATTGAAGCGGATGAGGGCTTAGAGTGGGGTAGATGGCGGCGCATCTACTTTCACTATAACTAACCACAGTCACCGTACCTGCTCTCAGGCAAATGGTGGACATCATCGCCTGCGATGGTCGAACTAAAACACACCGATCATGTACGAAGTGCAGTGCTTTGCGTGTCAAATCGGTAAGGAAACAGAAACTCTTCAACGCTGAACAAAACGCCAATTTTCTGATCAACTGGACCGCACTCAAGACCACCTTGTTTGCTTCTTTGACTCTTAAGTCCGATGTCTGATACTGTGCTGTTCACCTCAAAGAACTCATCATTATTGTTAGATGCACTTTCCCTCTATGGCCAACAAAGTGACCCTCCAACCCGTCAGCATCATCAAAACGTGGAGGAGGGAGTCACCCCCCTCGTTTTGGCGATATCTCATGGATTGTGCAGTAGTCTTCAAAGTAGGTGCCTAATATCATTCAGATATATCGCTAATAAGTCGTATAGAAATAGCAGCAGTAGTAGTATTAGTGGCAACAGTACTTGTAGCACGGCACCTATTACTGAGGCGCTTTGTCTTAACCCATAAACTATTTATTTTTACCTCATACAGATTCGGAGTGCATACTTAGTTCTGATTTCCTAAAGGCACAGATAGACCGCATTATAATATACTATTTACTGGTCTCAGTAAGTATGATTACTAGAATTCGCAATTAAGCATAGACACGTACTTATAGCCGTAGTATCCGAGCCCAGGTAGTCCAAACCTATTAGAAACGAACAAAGCCTGGCGGATAGAGTTGAAAGGGCGGAAACTAAGGCAGGCCGTGATGTGCTCAGGGTCACAAACATGCATTTCCTCGAAATAGCATAAACTACTATTTCACACTCGTTGTTGAGATCAAGTGAGTATAAGCCCCTGCGTTGATTTAAAATCATCATCAACTGATTAATATTAGCGTCAGAGATAGTGTCAGTACTATTAAGACACATCTACTTTGCTAGTTAGGAGTAGTAGAAATAGCAGTAGCCGTATCAGTCTCGGCCTCCTTGAGTCTGGCTTGACATCTGCTGAAGGTGAGTGAGGGTAGGTAGTGCGGTAGTACCCGCGCCAAGTCTACTGTCACCTAAGACTAAGTTAGGCGGTGTTTTTCTGGCTTGCATTGGAGAAAGCAGCCAATACCGGGTCCCGTTTGGTCTTCTTGACCCCGGGCAATGGTGAAGAGTGTGGTTGGCGCCAAATACATCTGCTATAACTATAAACTACCCCCTGAGGCCCGTCACCTTCTGCATCAACCTGTCGGTGCATATAGTGGTCTTCATCGAAATCGATGGTCGAACACACATACCACATTCCACACACATACCAAAACAAGGAAGACCCAATACAATGCTTCGGCTGCACCTGAGCTTCGAACCCGGGCTGTTTTGGTTTTCTAACGATTGAGCTGCCGCATCTTGTCCTGTCGATTCTGCCCGGATAGATGGGCGCTCACCAATCAGGTTACGGAACGTTCCCGTCTCGTCATGCCTCAATTTTCTATCTCCATATGTCGTCAGCAGCCAAGAATACTCAAATTGTATTGAAAGGGCGCTCACCAATCAGGCTATGGAACCTGCTTACTCGGTTGGGCCTTGAGACTCAAACTAGGGCCATCGCAGGCAGTCGCATAGCGACTACTAGTATAGGCAACTACGGTGGTACCGACTTTCAGGCTAGAACCCTCACAGGGCCAACGAGACGAGCACTTTCCGTAGGTTTATCTGTGAGCGTGCCTCTAGCAAAGCATGTTATTAGGCCTCTGTGTGCCCTGCTAATTACTGTCTTCTGCTCCTGGCTCTTAAGCTGACATTTCCCATCTCCCCCCTGTTTTTAGGCACATGCCTACGTCAGTGCGGATATGATTTCACGCTTGCAAAAGGGCTACCTTGTGCGTTCAGCGCATCGGAAGTCCATGCCAAACTGTGAGTCCTCATGCGTACTTCAGTCTAATCAATCGCGGCGTGGGTTTGCTTCCCTTCTGCTCAGTCATCTTGTGCGACTTTAGTTTGCTTCTGTTGTTTCTTTCGGTAGGACTGTCTTTAGAGGTCCTATTTGCCTTCGACTTATAATAATAATAACCTAATTTGGCATTCTCAGTAGCCCGACCTTCTCCCTTTTTCGTTCAATTCCGCCAATAGAAGGGCAAATTTCCATTACTAGGCATCGGTTTCCCGAGCAACAGGAGTTTATGTTAATGGAGTCGATTATAGTAATAATAGTGAAAGTTCGATTTCCAACTGGCAAGTCAAAAGGATAGAGGGCGTTCACCGGGAAAATGCTCCCGGTTAATGCCCTTTCTTCTTCGGAGTTGATTATATTTAGTTCATTACAACAATTGTAAGGGGCTCTAATTTAATATTATTTGGTCACTTTCGACATATTCATTTACACTCGTTAAACAAAAATGAAATGTTTAACCATCAATTCCGTAAGACAGTTGGGCGGGTGGAATAGATATTTAGGCGGCCCTAGAAGACAGTTTTGCCTTTCTTTCAGACCACAAGCCCTCAAATTCTGTGAGTCATGGGATAACTAAATGTTTGATTCAGACCTAATACACACCCGTCTTCTGACAAACAATATATTTCTTAAACATTAGACTGTTTTCACGAAAATAACGACCATAAGATAGTTTGCGGCATGACTTGTGACAATAAACAGAAAATCCCCAAGTTTCTCCATGTCTCAAAGTATCCCAGCTGTCCTAAGAAACGCATTTTCGTTGGCACATTTGTACCACGTGAAATTACGCGGAATCCGTAAAATGTAGATTAGGCCAATAATAAATGTATGCACGTGCTGTAGCCATCTTTCTATTCTAATAATTTTGTATACGACTGCCATTTCATCATGTAAATCGTGGAATTCTCAAACCTACTGGCCAGATTTATATGCAGCATAAATGTATGTGTTTCGCCGGTCTAGTAGAGGAAAAACTAAGTTCCGCTTTGCCCAGGAGCTCACAATGTAAACCCGCCAGACCGTCACATAGTGACTAAGACGATATGATGAAATGGATCCGACAATGCAAAGGGAGACCGGAATGGCCATTTCATCATGTACAGTATGCATGAAAAAACACTTTACCATAGTGCTAGAATTCATTTGACTACGTGTGACAAACTTGGTGGTCTCGACGGAATTCGAACCCGCGGCAGCAAGGGGAGGGCTTTGGGACAAACAACGCCCTAACTAACTGAGCTACAAGGCTCCACTGGGAGTCGTGAGTTTAGTCACACTTGGGTCAATTTACCCGGCCAGTCTACTGCAACGTGCATGGAATCTACCAATTGTGATATAGTAGAACCTCGGTTTATGAGTTTACTCCGTTCCGTCACCGAGTTCGTCTTGTGAAATGTAACCAATCAAGTTGTATTGGTTCACTGATTGCCTGTAGGCGACCGAGGATCCACGCCCTGGAGCAAGACTAAACGGCGTAAGCTCGTCAAACGAAACTAATGTTTTGCTAGTGGCTCGCTCGTTACCTGAAATGGTCATAGATGGGGCTGCCCGTCACCCAAGGCTCCACTGTGCAGTAATCTGACTGCCCAAGCAGAATTTCCTAAGTAATCAATCCAGAATCCACCAGATGACTACGAGGCACAATTAATTAATGCCGGAATTCATGTAAACATTTCAGTCACGTGCGATCACTTTTCAGGTAGGTCTTACGTCACTTCTTCGTATTTCAAACACTGAAACGGGCTATCCTGTTTTTTTTTAATGTTACCCAGCAGACCCGATGGGATAGGTGTTTATGCCTTTAGGGATATAGCGAGATAATCTTACAGTTAAAAAACATGATCGGATACGGAGATTTGCCTCACCCACCTATCCTCGCTTTAAACTTCAGGGAATTACATATCCTTCGAAGTTAGCGCAAGCCAACCTACAATTCAGTGGATGGGAAGTCCATATGACAGTGTCCTACCACAAATGTTTGACAAAGCTAAGCCAACTGTTTTTCATTTAGATTGTAGACCCCCCTTTCCTCGATTACCCTTCTTTTGATTAACTCCATTACTTCTCTCCGTTCAAAATTTGTGAAGTCTCGCTGCACAAAAAACTCAATATTTACTAAATCATATTTTAAATTTGCGAAAATTCCCATTTAAAATTTCAGAAGATAAGTTGGCGAACATACGTTTGTTTTTGATAAATTCTCGTCAGGCCCTTACATTCCGATCTTCCCCTCCCCCACCTCCTCTGACAACCACACTACGTTTTCCGCCAACCCACATAGTTTATCTAATTAATTATCATATAAATGTAAAGGCCCGAGGAGAATTTATTAAAAACAAGCGTATGCTCGCCAATTTATCT